CCCAGAGGAAAGACTGGGACCCAGGAGCTCTGGCTTTGATGGCTAAATCTTCCCCTTTTGTTTCCTTGGAAGGTAGTTTTAAGATCATAAAATCTCTGAATTAAAAGGAACTTGAGCAGCTCATCTCCTCTTGTCATTGTTGCTGAATCGTTTCAGTCGTGTCTACTCGTCATGACTCCATTTTGGAGTTTTCTTGACAAAGATATTGGAGTGGTTTGCTATTTTTTTTCTCCAGCTGATTTTGAAGATGAGGAAACTGAGGCCAACAGGGTTAAGTGCCTTGCCCAGGGTCACACAGCTAGTAAGTGTCTGAGACTGGATTCGAACTCATGAAGATGAGTCTTTCTAATCCTAAACCCAATGTTCTATCCACTCTGCCACCTAGCTGCCCCTCATCAAGTATACCCCTACTTAAAAAAAAAATCCCCTCTAAAACATATCTCTTGATTGATTACCCAGTGATTGGGAGCTCATTATCTCCCAAGGAAGCCTATTCGAATTTTGGATTGCTCTAAGTTAGGAAGAATTTCCATAAATCAAGTCCAAATTTGTCTCTGCAAATTCCATGCATATCTCAGAGTTCTGCCCTCTGGGGCCATCTGGAACAAGTTTAACCCTCTTCCAGCCCTTTAGACAGTTATTACGTTTTCTCTAAGACTCTTCTCCAGGCTAAATGTCCTTGTTCCTTTAGCCCATCCTCAGATGACAGACCCTCCACCATCCGGATTGCCCTCCTCTCTTCAGCTTATCAGTGTGCTTCCTATGGTATGGCTCCCAAAATAGAACAATGTGCTCCAGATGTGGTCTGATGAGGACAGAGTAGAGCAGGAAGGGCTACAACCTCTTGCTTGCCTGTGTGTGTATTTATATTCAAGTGGAAAAACGCCCTAAGGGCAAAATGTCATCCAAGTGGCTGTTTTACTAAGAAAAAAAGGAATGGAAATTGACTTACATTGATTGTAATAGGGTTTTATGTGATTTGTCCATCATCACACAACTAAGGAAAGAGGCAACAGAAACAACAGGGGGAAAGGCAGATGAGTAGTGGGGCAGTGAATACAGCTCTGGGCCTGGAGTCAGGACAACCGAGTTCCAATCCAGCCTCAGACAGTTAGTAGCTGTGTGACCTGGGGTAAATCATTCAACCTCAGTTTTCTCAATTGCAAAATGGGGATGATGAAAATAATAGTACCTCCCTCTCGGGATTGTTGAGAGAATCAAATATATAATAAGCACATAATAAGCACTATATAAGTGTTTGGCTATTATTACTACTATAATCGAATGAGTTCATATTCATAAAGTGCTTAGCACAGTGCCTAGCACATAGTAGACATTATATAAATGCTAGCTATTGTTATTATTACTACTATCAAATGAGATATTTGTAAAGTACTTAACACAGTACCTAGCACGTAGTAGGCACTATATAAATGCTAGCTATTATTGTTATTATTAATTATTGCTATTTTAGAGCTAAGATTTGAACCTTGATCTCCTGACTCTAAAACTAGTCTCTTTCCACTGTACCATGCCATGGAAAGGACAAGATGCCCCTTGCCTCCCCCCTTCCATAAAAAGCAGCAAAGGGCTTAGATGACGCATACCTTACATAATCAGTGGATACCTTGGATATTTGACTTACAAAAAATGAAGCTTTCAAGTTAAAGAATAAGCAGACCAAGAAGCAGCTTGCATTGCCACAGATGTCAGTGATTGTGAGAAGGCCTAAATAAGAGAGCACGACACAGGGCTAGGTGCTATGCAGAGTCACGTGCACCTGGGTCCCAGTTCCTGCTCTGCCATATAATTACAATAGCTAGCATTTAGAGAGCACTTTAAGGTTTGCAAAACAGTTTGCAAATATCTCATTTTATCTCACAACAACCCTGGGAGGTAGGTACTATTATCACTATTATTATCCCCATATTACAGATGAAGAAAATAGGGACTTAAGGCACATATTGGCTATGTGACCCTTGACAAATTATTAACCTTTTGCTTCAGGCAGCTAAGACAAGCTACATGGGGAGAAAATGTCCCTCGATAGGAGCTCCCTTTACCAATGAAATCACAGGTTTGATTTAAAATAAATAAATAAAGGCCTTCTTTAAGGGTCTTTACATTGTACTAGAGCATTAACTCTTTAAGCCAAAGAACTGAATGTCTGACTCTGGATGTCAGGTATCAGAAAACCAAACTGAGTGAGACAGATATTTTTGGGAGGTAAGAGAATCTAACTGGTCCCTAAAATCATGCTCTATCCATAGCCACTAAGTCTATATCTATGGGTCATAATAGCCCTGGGCTTGGCCATCTGAAGGATAGGGATAAGATTGAAAAGTATGGGGCAGAAGGAGATCGTAACAAAAGGAAAATCAAAGGCTGGAGAAACTTTCAAGATACATTGCTTTGCATATTTTGAGGTAGGGGAAGGGAAACTCAAAATCATAAGAAAATCGGCATTTTACATGGAGATTTAAGAAAAGAAAGTGTTTTCCTCACAATGATCTGGTGAGGTAGGTGGTGAAATTTTTATTATCCCCATTTTACAGATGATGAAACAGAGGCTCATAGAAGTAAGTGACTTGGCTAGGGTCACATAGAGCTAATATCTAACCCAGATCTCTTGACTCCAAGTCTACCACTCTTTCCACTAGAAAAAAAAATGTTAAGAGTAATCCTAGTTTATTTTACAGATGAAGATTTTTGAAGCCCAAAGAGATAAGATTTCACTGGTCTAAGATCAGTGGCAGGTCCAAAACCAGATCTTGAATTCAGGTCTTCTGATTCCTAGTCTTATATTTTCATTCTACCAAATCACATGTTTCTGTTGGAGCAACTCTAATTTCTTACTCCTGCCTCCTGATTCTCTGAAATTGAACATCTAACTCATTTGATCCATTTATCTTACCCGGTTTCTTTTCTTTTTCTATTTTTGCTCTCAAGTTTGTGGGAGTATATGTGTGTGTGTGTGTGTGTGTGTGTGTGTGTGTGTGTGTGTGTGTGTGTGTGTGTATGCAGCTTGGGCCCTGGATGTTTTCTGCTTCTCTGCATTTTCCTATGATGTTAAGTGAGCTGACACTTCCTCCAGGTTTTGTTTGCCCGGCATTGCGGCATAGAGAGAAAGAAAGATTGCCTAAAATACCTCAAACCAGTCACAGGGCCTTTCCCACTGGCTCCCCTCTACTAAGGTGCAATTAAGAATAGTATTTGTGTATTGTAAATTTCCACCTGCCCCATCCGCAACTCCTGGGGACTCATCCCGGCACCTCTCTTGTTATTTTCCTCCTCCTCACCCACACTGTCCTGGTACCCAGGACATCAGCCTGGGGTCATCCACTCCTTGTCCATTCCTCTATCTTTTTAAGCCCTCAACTGATCATGGGCGACTTCCAGCTCTGTCCCAGTGTCTCCCATCTCTCTCCTTTTGTCTTGTTTCACTTTATAGGGTCTTACTGTCTTGGCAGTCTTCACTGCCTGCTAGGCATCAAGACCGTCACTCCTACCGTCTTCCTCCAATCATAGAAGACCAACAATCATACCCTCTCCTTGGGAATGAAACCAGAAAAGAGAGAGGGGTGCACACTTGGTTCACTCTGCCTTCTGGAGGCCAGAGACTTGACTGAAGAGAGTATTTGGCAGTGAGAATGGGATGCCTTGGGGACAACCAGCCTTAGGAACCAAGTGGCTGATTGATCCTTGCAAGAAATAAACCTGTTGCCCTCTAGATATCCTCACAGACAAACCCAAAAATAAACTACTGAAGGTGCTGCCACCACAAGTCAAAGAGAAACTGAGACACGCTATGTATGCCAGGCAGCCCTGGGCATCCAGCCAAAGCCTTGATATTAATGGAAATATCACCATCAACCAGCAAGCGAGTCCTGTCAAACACAGTATCTTCCCTGGACCCTTAACAGGAAGGGGTGGGGGTGGGGCTAGGGTTAGGGTTTGCCAGCTCCAGCCATGGACAATCCCCACTTGGTGATCTCGATGTCTCGGCATTAGGTTCCCAGAAAGAAAGACTCTAGACTTGCCAGGACTGGGTGGAGGGAGTGCTGGAGAAAAGGTGGATGGAGTGGATCAGTGACTCAGCACTGATGTTGTCAGTCAACCTCACAGTCAGGAAGGAGTCATCCTCATAGCCCCAGAGGGCTGGGGAGAGCCGCTCAGGGATAACCCTCGGGAAGGGAGAGGAGTTGGGGCACGTTTGAGGAAACAGCCGTGCCCACAAGAAGACTTTTCAAGCATCTTTGCCCTTGGGATACCTGAAAGCTAACTCAGACCTTTCCCTGTGAGCAGATGAGGGGGAGGGGGACAAGGCCCCAGGTGCTGAAAGTTTCATGAGAAATAAGAGTATTGAGGGGCAGCCCCAAGCGGTCCTGGCTGTCAGAGAGAACAAGTCAAGTCACATGGAGCAGGTGTAGAGAGACCCGTCACAAGAGAACAGTCATTGATGGAGCAGAGGAAGCATTAAAAACATGCTCCCTTTCTTGTCTTTCATCAGAGTGTGTTTTTGTCACAGAATTTTGTGGGGGGAGGGGAGGGTTCAGACCAACGATTTGAGATAGAAAGCTTCCAAGGTGGAAGCTCTCTCTACTTGTACAGACGGACAGTCTTAAAGAGTGGCCTGGGGCACTGAGAGGTTAACTGGCTTGCCTATGGTCCCCCCAACTAGTATGTGGCACAGGCAGGTGTCCCTGCCCGAGGTCCACCCGAGACTTGCCTGGCATAAATCACACAGCTACCAAACGTCAGAGTTGGGATGGTACCTTGAACACTTTTATTTTCATTTTACCGATAAGAAAACCAATGAGACCAACGTCGGATAAAGAAGTCTGGAGACCCAAGTATTCTAGGAAACTAGATGGAACTTGCTAGGATTCTGCTAGCCATGGGCCCTTCAGCCGGTCCTTTTTTCTGTCTGTGGCCCCAGAGGCAACAGCCTCTGTCCCAGCCTCATGAACCCCAGACTTCCAAGAGAGAAAATAGCTTACCCAGTCTGGGACAGCCTTCTGGGACCAGCTGGTCCCCAAGAGCCAAGAACGGGACGGCCAGGAGCGCCAGGATGACAGACAGCATGCTTCCTCCTCTTCTAATACACCATTCTCCAACTGGGTGGTGTCACTTCTCCCAGTGTCCATTGGTCATATGAGGTTCACTCCCAGTCCCCATTCCGAGGAGCGCTGTGCTCCCCAAGCCGGCTCCCCGCGCTCCTCTCTCGGCCCTCTTCTCCGCTCCCAAAGTGTCTCCTCGCCACTCTCTGCTCGCTAGCCTGCTGCGCTCGCTCCGCGCCTCTGGCTCGGCTCGGCCGGCTCCGCGCTTCTCTCCCCGCCTACCTCTGCAGCCCAAGCCCGGGCAGGAGCAGCAAGCAAGCGAGCGCCCAGACTCCGAGTGCCCTTTCTCACTCCCTCTCTTGTTCACTGCTCAGCCAGCCCTGACTGTCTTAGCTCAACTTCCCACTTATACATGACTCAGAGTAGTGGATAGTCCTGGCAAACACAGGAAAACATTTGAGGAACTCAGCTCTGCAGCGGCTGTCGACCGTCCCCATGTGCGATTGTGAAATCGGGGACCGATTGAGCAACAGCAGCCAGGGCAAGAGGGGAGACGTGAGGGCGGGTTGCCAGCAAACACTCCACACCTGAGAGAGGAGACGGGTGGGGGGGGGGGGAGGGGACGACGACTTATGTTCATAGCACGCCCTGAGCTTTCATAGGCTGATTTCTTCTCCTCAACACAGTTGAAGGTCGTTATTATTATACCTGGTTTACAGACAAGAAAATCGAGGCTCAGAGAGCTGAGATGACTTGCTAGGGAACCCTAGAGTGAGTTAGTGGTGCAGCAGGGACTTGAAGTCAGTGCTTCCTCATTCATAATAATAACTAATATTTTATACAGGGTGTTTCCCAAGTCCAGGCAGTTGGTTTTAAGCTAACTTTTGGGAAACACCCTGCATAGTACTTGTAAAGTGCTTTACAAATATTCTTTTTTTATTGTCCTAACAGCTCTGGGAAATAGGTGCTATTATTATTCCATTTTACAGATGAGAAAACTGAGGCAGTTTAAGTGACTTGCCTAGTGTCATACAGCTAGTTACGTGTCTTAGGTAGGATTTGAATTCCAATCTTCCTAGCACCAGGGCCAGAATTCTACTCATTTTGCCACCTCTTAAAGTCCATTGCTTTTCTTAAGCGGGCAGAGGAGCAACCCCTCCCCATCCACCCCCAACCCTCCCCCACCCCCCCTCAGAATTCTGTTTGGGAACAAAACCTTGGGAAAAAAAAAAAGGAAGGTACTCCTTTCTTCTCCCAGGGTCACTATTAGGAAAGCAGCTGAACAGAGAGAACAGAGCAGCTTTGGAATTTAGTTAAGGGACAAGCCTCTCCCTCCCCACATAGTGATCAGTTCCTTGGGCTCAATGATCCCTGCCTCAGGCACGCACATTAATAACTGGGCTTTATAGTTTACAAAGCACTCTCTTCACCTGTGAGGTAGATGATGTAATTATCACTATCCCAGGTTTACAGATGAGAGTACTGAGGCTGATGTGTTTGCTGAGAGCCAAGATCCCAGTAGGATAATAGATTCAGAGCTGGGAAGGACCTTAGAGATCATCTCATTCAAGCATCTCATTTGATAGATGAGTAAACCAAAGGCCAGAAAGCTGAAGTGTTTCATTCAAGGTCATAAACGTAATAGTAAGTGACAGGGGAAGATTTGAATCCAGGTCCTCAGCCTCAGCCTCCAGGGCCTGTACTTCAAATGCTTCATTTCTTTCAATCAGCAAAAAATAACCTTTGCCACTGGTGATCTGTTTCAGAATGTTACAGTACATGCCATACTGGATTTTTATTTCATAGGCAAGCAAGGTTGAGCCAGAATCTGAAGAAGCTGACTGCAAGCTTTTCACTTCTAGAACCTTTAACTTGAGAAATCAGAAAACTAGGTGGTGAAGCAATATTGTTGCTCTAAATGTGTGAGCATCGAGGTGGTGCCTTTCTGCAAGAAGCACAGAGCCTGGCACATAGTAGGCACCTTCAAGAGTTTGAACCAGCTCAAGACAGCTTAGGAGAACTTACTGTTAAATTTTCAGTGTGAGCATTTACACCTAAGAAATCCGCAAAGGCTACAGAATCAGAGCTTGCTTTTCTGTTGTTGATCTTCTAGATAAAGTGATAAAGAAAATGCTAAAAATGCAGATTAAAATTAAAAGTGTATTGTATATATGTATATATATATATATGTATAAATTTTTTTTTCCAGAGAGCTAGTCATTAAATATTTGCCAGCACACTTCTGCTTAATAGTCATTGAGCCCATTGACAAGTGCCTACTGTGTGGCAGGTACTGTACTGCTGGGAATACAAAGGCAAAAGACAGTAGTCCCTATTCACAAGGAACTCACAGTTAAATGGAGAAGAAAAACAATACGTAAACTATGTCTAAACAAGATAAGCTCAAATAATAAACAGAAGGAAGGCTCATTAAACAAATGCTTGTTGACTTGCTGATTTGAAAGGCAGTGTTATAAAAAAAGAAATTTAATTAAAAAAAATTTTTTTTAATTTGAAAAGCAGTGTTGTCTGGCTGAAAGAATAGAATTTGGAGTCAAAGGACCAGGGTTGAAATTCTAACTCTACCTGCGTGACCTTGGACAAGTCTTTTAAGGTCCTTTCTAGGCGTCTGTTTCCTGATTTGTAAAATGAATGTTTTAGACTAGGTTTAGCCTTTGAACTTCTCTCCAGTTCTAGGCCTATGGTTCTCTGACCCAACAGGTTGTCCAGCAGTGACAGAGCTAGGACTGACAGCTGCCTCCAGTCCAACACTTCGTCCATTGCCATTGCTTGTCAAATGAAGAAATTCTACTATCTTTCCAACCCAGAATGTATAAACTGAGACCCACCATAGACAAATGGGCAAAGAGGTGTTTCCATGGTGAGTGGATGTGAATTTTACAAACCAGCACCATATGCTTAGAAAGGACGGAGAAGAGCCATGCCAAAGGAATGAGTTGATGGCAGCTACCAATTATCAGGGGTGGGGAACCTGCAGTCTCAAGGCCACATGTGGCCCTCTAGGTCCTCGAGTGTGGCCCTTTGAGTGAATCCAAACTCATCCTGTGAGGTTTCACACAGGCTGCCAGCTCCCCATCCCTGATTTAGACTAAGCTGAAGTGTCAGGGAATTTATTTTCAAGTTTAGGCTCTAAACGGGCAGCTAGGTGGCTCAGTGGATAGAGTATTGGCCCTGGAGTCAGGAGGACTTGAGTTCAAATGTAGCCTCACACACTTGACACTTACTAGCTGTGTGACCCTGGGCAAGTCACTGAACCCCATTGCCTAGCCCTGCCCCCCCCAAAAAGGTTTCGGCTCTACAGAGGTAAATGATAGACCTAGAAAAGGACATAGAACAAAAAAAGTACCTTTTTGCTGGCTTGTTAATTAAGTTGGTTCTATCCTGTTAAAAATTGCTTCATGTGAAGATTTTATCTTTGTTTTATAATATTTATTAAATTATTCGTTATTGATGGTCTATTAGTTTTATTGTTTTTTATTATTATTAGTTTATAGTATTTATTATTATTAGTTTATAGTATTTATTATTATGGGTTATATTATTTATGTTATATTATATTATTTATATTAGTAGCAGTTTTATAATATTTTTAAGATTCAGCTTTAAAATTATTCCCAGAAACTTCTGCTAAATTGAAAGCAATTCATGGGATCATAGAAACCAAACCCTAGGAGGGACCTTAGAATATAGAATTTTAGAAATCTCAAAATATAGAATGATAGTAATGGAAGAAACTAGAGAACAAAGAATGCTGGAGGTGAAAGGGGCCTCAGAGACCATCTAATCATACAATCACCTTATTTGACATCTGAGACATCTGAGGCCCAAAGAACTGAAGTTATTTGCCCAAGGTCACACAGTTTGTGAGTAGCAGAGCCAGGATACAAAAGTCCTCTGACTCCAGATACAGAGCTCTTCCCATTATTCCATGCTGCCCAGAATGGAGGTGTTTCTACACTGTGGTTCCAGGGTATCAATCAATGGATGTAGTTATCCCATTCACATTGGGACTTTTCCCATCGAGGTTTCAATTTATTGCCAGTTGGCATAAGAAATTAAACGGGAATTTGGGGGGGGAGTTCTGCGGAAGCTGCAGACTACACTCAAAGGCCAACAGACAACACAGAAAAAGTTTAAAAACTCAGAAATGCGTAAAATATATGCATAGTATTATATAATATCAACATATTTTATCTTTTAATAACCATAATAATTCTGACTTTTATAGAATTTTACACAGATTTTCCAGATCATAGAGGTGCTGTGCATCTAACCCCCGAGAGGCAGAAGGGATAACTGTAGAGCCTGAATCAATTCAAGAACACAATTCCTGAAGCTGACTGGAACTGGACTCCATGACAAGAGCTGTGTATCTGCTTGAGAGTGGAAGGATAAGGACCCGACATGGAGTCAGGAAGACTTGAAGTTCAAATCCAGCCTCAGATACTTATTAGTTCTGTGACCCTAGGCAAGTCACTCTGTTTGCCATAGTTTCCTCACCTGTAAAATGGAGATAATAAGTTTATTATTACGTATTGTTATAAAATAAGTTATAAAATGAATTACAAAATAATATAAATATAAATAATATTATAAAATAATGTCTTGTTTTATTTTTAGCGTGGACTGATTCATTTAGTTCTTCTATGAAGCCCCTTTAAGTTGTAACGATGGGCCAGAATATCTCATTATTTCACCCCTTCTTCTCTCCCCCTGGAAGGGGCCTAATGTCTACATGGACACTAAAGTGTTGCTAGGGCTAGGAAGATACCTAGGTACCTTGCAGGGTTGTTGTAAGAATCAAATGAGATAATAATTGTAAAGTGTTTGACACAGCGTCCGGCATAAGTAAGTGCTATGCATAAATATTAGCTATTAGAAAAAGCAAAGGGGCAAGTAAGTAGAGATATAGGACCATAGATTTAGCAGTCCAGTCCTACCATAGGCATCTGGAGCCACAGCTACAATTTGGAGGCTGGTCTATACCTCAATTCCAGGAGCCATCAATGACAAGTATAACTTAATTGATGCCAACATCTTTCCAGGGCAAATGAGCAAAAGCTCATAGATTGACTGTAAAATGATAGAACATAACATCAGAAGAATCAATATTGCAGGTGTTCTGCAATATTGAACCAAAGATGGTAGGTTTCTGGAGGTAGCTTAAATTAGCTCATAATGGCTGATTAAATTTTCAGTGAGAGCATTTATACCTGCATTTATACCTTGGAAATTGACAAATGCTACAGATCAGGACTTGATTTATTGGGTTTTTGTTTTTTTTTAATGTCTAGACTTAAGAAAGTGATGGAAAAAATGTTAATAATGCAGAATTAATTTAAAGTGTTCCCAGAGTTTTCAGAAAGCTGGTTGTTAATTTACCAGCACACATTTCAATTTACATTACCCAAAGGCAATGGAGAAGGGCAGCTAGGTGTGGCAGTGGATAGAGCACTGGCCCTGAAGTCAGGAGTACCAGAGTTCAAATCTGGCCTTAGACTAAACACTTGACATTTACTAGCTGTGTGACCCTAGGCAAG